GCATCTAATGGCCGCTACTACCATGAAAATGCACCGATTGACCCCAAACTCACGAAAATGAAAGATGACCCTAAGGGTAACACCTGCCCATAATATTATAGGTAAGATATGTTTCGTTTCTAAATATCGGCTGAAATAAAAATTTTCTCGCAAAAAATTCCCATTTTTAGAAAATTTTGGCCTGTTTGACCTTGAAATAAAGGTCAAAGGTCAAATCCAAGGGCATATTTGAAATCCTCACATATGACTTTTGGTCAGCCATCTGTTGTAATTTTTCCCATAATTCCATCGGTTTGGGAGATATTTAGCATTGAATTTTCAAAATTTTTGACAAGGGTGCATTTCAACGAGCGTCACGCCCAGGTCAATGCACCAACTGAGACAAAAAAACCTGGGGGTTCAAGTTGAGATTATATGTGACCTAAATCCAAGAGATGGGGACACAGGTCCTTGCGGTCTAGGAGGAGAAGCGGTAACGGTGACTCGTATCCCACGTCATCCTGCGGAGCCGCAGGAGCCGCAGGAGCCGGCTGAGCCGGCGGAGCCGGCGGAGCTGTACGAGACGGGTCGGGACTTAAACCATGAGTACCGCCAGCGTACTAATAATTACTTCAGTCTACACTGCTATTATTGAAAACCCAATGGTTGGTTTATACATACTTGGGGTAAAATTTTTTTATCCACATGCAAATATGGCAACTTAGGTTATATTACACGCTTGATACACAGGAACAATCAGTTTACCTTAAAAAATTGGACTTCAAATTCTAATGACCACAGGGCTTTTTACTAAAAATTGATATTTCCCAATCTTTACTGACCTTGATAAAGCAAAAGCGTAGATATTTGGCTCCTAAATGTTTGTGACCTTTGTGGTAGAAAACACTTGGTGGGATAGCAGACAGCTTCTGAAGCGTTCAAGTTACTGGTTTTTAATTTTGATGATTATTATAAATATAATTTTTTTTAGTTTTGGTATCTTCACCTTCATTCTGACCACAATATTCTCCTATTTCCAAAATGAAATCAAGTCTGATTATTATTGTTTTCCTTTTTTCCCTTTTTTTTGTAGCTAGTGGTCACATTAAACTTATATCATTACAAATTATTACTACTATTATTGTTTTTCTAAAAATAAGTACACATTAACAACCTGAAGTAGACAAGTCAATGTATATGTGTCTGTGTATGTACATATCCACACATGCACTTTGTTAAGAATTCACCTTATTGACAGTCATCCATTTACAGAACTTGACATCCTCTGTAGTGTCAGAACTGTCACTGTCATCAAAGCTGACATCTGGAATATTAAAACAATTTTGTAAAATCCTGATTTTTTTCTTAGCTATTTAAATTAAAAGTTCCTGTAAATTAAAAGGCAGAAACACTTTTCAGTGTCGGAGCAAATAAAACTTTATTTATGTTTGAATAAATAAAGCATTATGTTTTTGTCAACTGAAGTGCTTATTATTCAACAATCAATTCTTTCATTTTAATGAGTTAAAATTCTAAAGAAGCTATTTCTTTTGAATTTGTAATTTAACAAGCTAAATTTTATTATATTTATACTGCATTTCATAAAAAAAAACGATTGAAAAATAAAAAATACATTGTAAAACAATGGAATGCATTTTTTATTAGATTTTACTTGGTTCAAAGAATTTTAGTAAAGCTTAAGGAATGATAATCACTTACTTTGGAACGAAACTGTTACAACAATGCAATGTTTTGCTCTTATTTGAAGCACATCATCTGGCTTGTTAAGAGCAACTCAAAGCTGTTTTATAATTTTTTTTCCAAAATAAGTGATTATCATCACTATATTTGCCTCTGCCATTAACAATTTAAAACTATAAGTATGCATCTCAAATGCTAATTAAATACCAACTTAAATGCGAAAAGTCGGCCATCATGAAGTACGCTCCTTGGGGAATGACAGGAACAAACCCGACCTCCTGAAGATCCTTGGCAAGAATGTCGCGCTTTCTTTCCAAGTCATCACTAAGTTGTCTGAAGTAGCTGTCTGTCTGACCGAGTCTGTGAACTTCTGTTTCCATACCAACAGCCACTGCTTCCTAAATATAGTGATGATAAAATGTATAAACTCAGACAACGTCATACCATGAGAGATATTTACAAGACTTGAACCAAAATGACCATCTATCTATCTTAAGACATATCTGTGAATATCTGTAAAAAATCTATCAGTCGCCCTGGTAGAGGGTAAGAGATATTATTAGTTCTAATAGCTTTTTATTATTATTGATGCTGTTTTTCAGCATTCTCACTTGTTATAGGGAAATATAAATGCAGTGATAAAGATTTTATTTCCATCTATCTGATGTCCCACATACCTGTAGTGGAGTAGGGCAGGTGTAGTTACAGTTCTGGTGAATCCTCTGAGCGCCCTCTATCAGGTGTGAAGGTCCTATACACCAGCCCAGCTTCCAGCCTGTCACACTGAATGTCTTCCCAGCACTGCTGATACTGATGGTACGCTCCCAGATGTCTGGTAGGGTGGCTAGAAAAGAGGGGATACTTTATTTACAAATTGAAATAACTCACATGCTTCTCTTCTTGGACATTTTTTACAATTTCTTTAAAAAATTAGTTACTCCATAAGGTCATTGATTGAACTCTTTTAGGAGGAAGTATTATCTAGTTTGACTGCTTGACTTGACTGATATTGTCAAAAAATCTAAAAAAAATTTCTTAATTTCTTCTGCTAACTATCAGGACTCAATCAAACAAACAAACTATATATATATATATATATATATATATATATAGAGAGAGAGAGAGAGAGAGAGAGAGAGAGAGAGAGAGAGAGAGCACATGCTGGTTCCTACCTATTCTAACATGTTCCTCCCCTTGGAAAGTAATCCACTCGTACACTTCATCCGATATCACCATCACATCATGCTGTTTACACAGGTCTGCTATCACCTCCAACTCTGCCCTGGAAAAAACCTAAACCAAGGATAGACCAGGGCTGTGATAATAACACTGCAGTGCAGTATGGCATGCAGAGGTTTACTTACTGATGTAATTATAATTATAACTGAGACAAAGTCAGGGGCGGATCCAGAGCTATTTTCTGACAGTCTTCCAAATTATCTTTGTTGATCCATCCTCTCATTTTGACCGTTTTCCAACAGAAAAAATAAGCTGTCAATGTAAACTTGAAAATCTGACCGTCTTCTGGAAGACCCTGAAGACGGCCTAAACCCCCCCCCCTGAAAATCATGGTTAGAGTAAACATCTTTGTAAGAGTAATAATCTATAATGTCTTGACTGCTACTTTTACATTATACAAGACATACAGCATTTCACCTAAAAAGAAACAGATGTAGCCTATTATAAAAAAATCTTACACTTACTGTCCTAATGCACTGCAGTCTTTTCAACTGTCTTATTTTTCAATTTTAACTTAATGAACCCCCAGCTTCAGAAACACACAAACTAAATTAAATGTACAGGAACAAGCTTTCAACTTACTTTGCCAGTTGGGTTATGTGGAGTATTGATAATTATTGCTTTAGTTTTAGTGTTAAACTTGCTGGCTAGTTCTTCTGGGTCTAGTTTCCAATCTGCACTGGATGACACTAACTTTGCTTTCTGGAAAATTCGTAAAAATTTTAATTTATCAGCTACTTATTAATTTAAAAAAATTACATAAAAAGTTTGAAGAAGGAGTTAAAAGTCATCATGTTCACTTGGAAGTTACAATGTTTTTTAAGAAATGATCTATGAATCACAAGGAATAAAGCTTTAAGTTTGTTTTCTACACATGCATATTGATGAAATGAAGTCCAATTCTTGGCAAACACTGTAAATTACTTAAACTTTCTTTGTAAGTATGTTTCAGTAAGTATCATGATGACAGGCAGATTAATTCTTAATTATATTCTTTTTTAATATGGCATCATTTTGCTGGAATTGTGACAGGTGAGACGAAACACAATCAGCAATCCAAGCACCACCATAAATAGTGCCCTGGTTGTGTTTGCTGTGGAAATAATCACCATGCAGCCATTCTTACCTCTGCTCTAAGTGGTATAAACACTGGTACCCCCTCTGCAAGCCTTACCATAGGCTCATAACAGTCAAAGAATGGCTCAATAATGATCACCTGGAAATAAATGAGAAAGGTAGTCATGTCCCATCTGTCCACCCCCACTTTAACCCCTCATTCACACATGGACGTTATCTAATTTGCTGATCTATCCAAATAAGGCTTAGGATTATGATAATTACTGATTTATCCCACATACCAGTACGTATACACCACACTGTGATTTTTTTTCCTTTAATAACAGTTGCCAGAGGGAATATCATACCAAGAAGATATATATGGGCTACTACAGTACCTTTATTACACAGGTAAGTTCAATGCAAAGCTCTCAATCTCTGCTGTGAATCAGTACAATTTTCTTTAATACTTGCACGTGTTAACAACTGTGGTATTTCAAGAAATATAGGTTACAGATATTGAACAGACCGATACAGGTCTGACTATATTCATATCCTTTTAGCAAACACGACACAGAAATAACTCCACTTATTGAGCCAAGAGTGGGTGTATTTCATTCCAAATGTAGATATTAATATGTAGGTTATAGGAGAGTGAGGACAGATATTGATCAGCAAAAGCACCCTTGCACATAAAACACAAGGCAATACATGGATGGCCATAAATTCTGCTGTCAACACTTACTTAAGAGGAATATTCTAAGAATTTCTGTGTGCTACGGCTACAACTGTAGTACATTTAGCACTGTTAAACAGTGTAATGATATAAGAAACCAGCAGCAAAATATTTTTTTAAATCAGCAAGTTATATGCTTTTAACGTTTAAAGTTATAATCATGCTGAAGATCAAATCTTTTTGAAAAATTTCTGTGAAAGGAATCATAGACCACAAAATTTAAATTAAACAGAACTGTAAGGAGGAGTAAATAAGATGGTACACCTTATGTTATTCTTTATGAAAAAAATCCATTTGCCCTTTTCAATGTCAGACAGATTTATAGCAAAAAAAATTCATAAGAAGTGTACGATATTTTCTGAAATCACATTTTAAGTTCTTTAGCTATTACTTCAAGACAACAATTTTTTATTGCCTAGAGTTCTCTCACTTAAATTGAACAAAAATCAGAATGACCTTTCCTACACAACATGTGTACCCAGTACATAGACTGCAATCTTTTTGGGGACAACAGAATTATATGTAAATATATCAATATACATGGAACAGATAAAAACTAAAAACTATTCAACTTCTGAATCTTACAAATCTAAAAACCTGTAAAACCTTGTACAATCTCCTCATGCAAGATCAAAAAGAATAAAGACATTATCTCAAATTTTCAAATTAAAATTTTTCTTTATAGGAGATTTGAAAAGAGATTTCAAGCTTGCCTGGTACCCGCAAATGTTTGTGTTGCCTAGGACGCCAAGATGGCTTGTAAAGCAATCAGGTAAGCTAATCTTTTGTGCAAGCATGTTCGAAGTGATTGGCATACTGGAGTACAAAAATGCTTCACTCAGTAAGTTGACACTGCCCAGATACAAAAATACAAATATACCTAATCTCTTAAACCTTTATTTTGAAGGCATAATCTTGTTGAAACTCTTTTACAACTATGAAAAGATTTTCAGGAGAAGAATGTAGAGTAATATAGCATAAAAATGAATTGATGTTAAAACCAACCCCTGATTTCAAAAGTCTTAACTGGAATATCACAAACAATTAAGTTTGATCACATTTTATTTGTAAAAGAAAGCACAAGAAGGTGATGAAATTAGCACACTCTCATTTTGCTCTGTCAGGCAGAGAGCGTACTGTAGAATGAAAATGTACCAGTACAACTAACCATCTGGTTGAATTTCTGGTCAAGCTACAACTGTTAAGTTACAAAAACTGATTAACATATTGCTTAATCATATTGTAACACAAATCAAGCCACTTGCTGACATCCAGAAAAATATTAATATCTTTTTTATCATAAAGCAGATCAAACTTTTTCTTTCATTGATTTCGCATAAATTTGCTTGATACAGTTTAGGAACAAATATCCCTTTAAAACTGATAAGGATTTTGTTATTTAAAGATGTCATGAATGTTTTCAAGTCATTTTCCAGTTTGATTTACATGTATTAGTATGTATGGAATAACAAAACATCCAAGAGAATATTGTGAAATATCTGAACATAAATTTCATAATCTGCTCACTGGAAGCTGTTTTCCTTTCTCCCCAAGCTTTCTATTCTCTGGATGTGTAAATCAAGCACAGCAAAACCAGGACACCAAAAATAACAAAATAATAATCAGAATACATAATAGGTATACCTGTGAACAATTTCAATGCCCTGCAAAATACCCTCAAATACCCCTTTCACCAACTGTAAGACAAGCTGTTGACACAGAATGTGTTTGAATAATCAACACAGCTTTGTACAGATTGAAAAGGGGTACTCATCCAGAAGCCGAGGCCCTAATGAAAATACCTGTGTCCCTTTAACGGTTATCCCAATTGTTCTGCCCAGTTTAATATTACATTCTACGACCAGTTTTATTAAATCTTAAGCTCTTGCAATCAACATACATATGCACTGTTTCAACCTGTTACAAGCTGAAATGAAGGATATCTAATCAACCATAGCCAACCAGAGCATAAAGGCACGACTGAAACTTTCATTCTACAGCTCAATGTTCTGTATCTTCTTCTCCTCCCCATTTCTCAGTGTTTATTCAAATCCCAATGTTAGTTCAGTGGACTTTGTAAAGAAATGCACAGGCTTTGTGTGTGAAAGGGGTGCCCCTGCGGTAAGGCTAAAGGTAAGCTGGGTTCAGGCTCTGTAAGGCTGGTAATGAGAGAAGTGGCCTGGAAGAAGGGGTTGTTCTAGGTCAAAGGCTTGAATGCAGCAAGCGGCACTGCAGAGTGCAGCTTGAGAAACTAGTGTAGCTTGCCCAAAAACATCCAGGAGGAGTGATCCTCTAACTGACAGCGGGAGGGGGGGGGGTTTAGATGGGGAGGGGTTGTTGTTAATAAGATGAACAGTTAATAATTTAAAATTGCGAGGGGGAGGGGTTGTTGATAATAAGACGGACAGTGAATAATTTTGAAATTCTGTGATATTTTTAAGTGGTTTTTATCCGATTTCATCTAATTAGCTTAGAAAATAAAATCACTTATCCCAAATTATCATGCTACCTTTTTAAACATTTATGTTTTATGTAGTTAACTTTGCAACTGTGTCAGCACAATGTTGCATATTTCAAAGGAACTGCATGAATGCAGCCACAATGAATATATTGATTTGCCATTCAGTGCTCACTGTTTTCAACACAGATTCTCCATATAAACTTAATTCAATACTTATACATGAACCCTTGATTAAACCATTTCTATTTCATCCTCAGCCTCTCCCTAAAGGAACCCAGGACCTATCTCGAAGGTAGATTGCCTGACCTTGCATCAACCCGAGTTTCAACCACAGCAATTGGACAACAGGTGTATGTGTTCCCGGCTCTGCACAGGTGTGTTTCTAGCTCCTAGCACTGTGTTTATAGGCGCCCTCCCTGACAATACTAGGCAGTACAATATATACCTTATAATAGGACAAAAGACCAGACTTTGAATTTCACTGTTGGTTAGACCCCCCAGGGCCTAGATTTTCTTATTTTCTCAGCATATTCAAATTTGCAATAAAATACATTTTCTGAAAGTTTTGAGGTGATTGATTAAAATGTAATCTTTTATAGGCAAAAACCACAACTTTTAAAGAAGTAACTTTGAGTAAAAAGTTATTTAAAAAAATGTAAAATTATGAGAACTAGGGGCAACCCCAATTAATAAATCTTATTAGAGCAAACTATCAGAAATTATATCATCTTTACTTTCCTACATCATTTTATTATTCTTAAATCTTATCACAGACCTATACTTAACCTTTTGCCATAAGCCATATAAGCAATACTGCAGTTGTGGTTACAGGTTCCCGGACACATCTTAATGGAGGTATATAAAACAAGAACATCAGCAAGATGTCTGGTCAGCTGGATGTGGATGTGGATGTGGATTTCAACAGGACAGAAAACAGGGAGTGTTCTAAGTGTTGGAACAGACCACGTGTACCCTGTTGGCCATTCGGTTTTATATTGAAGGCTTGCAGTCCCTGGAAACCCTACAATTTTTATTTGAAAGCCCAAGCCCCAACCGAGTGAGATGCCAGGTTATGAGCATAGTCTGACACGTACAGCATAACAGTAGTAAAGCTGTTCATTGAGTCTTCTATGCAGGTACATGTACATTAATTACCAGTAGTTAATTTCCTATATTTTGAAGGCAGTTACATGTATTATCAACAGTAGCATACTGTTCTACAAACCTTAATACTCTCTGCATTTGTTGTATTTTAGACTTAGGTTCATGCCTAGAATATAACTTGCTTTTTCTTTGATCTAATTAAAAATATCTTATCAAATCAATACATAGGCATACAAATCTAATATTCAGAATACTCACCAACTAAAATTATTTTATCCTCAGCTTTTTCAAAAGTCCTATATACCAGCATGAACCATTGGACCAGGTGTCTCTGAGTAAAATTTCTTTGATTATTAATTCAGGATTTCTCAAGCAAAGCATGAGATTCTTGAAGAGTTAAATGGGCAGACTCAAGGTCGAACAGTAAGTAATAAACTAGAGGGCAGAGTATCAAGTTTTTCATATCATAGTTTTTCATGCTACATGTAGTACCATCAGAGACCAAATATCAAATATAAATGAACATCGATTCATCTTGTTGTACTTCCATATTGTTACATTGTTGTCACTGGATTTCTGTTTTAATTATTATCAAGCAACCATGCTCATCATTTTCTTCCATATATTGTGTCAACTTTCCACTTTTTATACATTTTGCCTCAACTAACTGTGCTCAAAAATGTAAAATGCTAAACCTGCCTTACTCTGTTCTACTATATAGCATGTGTGAATGCAATCTTTTCTAAAATGCAGAAGAGCATACTTTTTATAACATGCAATTTTTACTGTGTTCTTCCAGGCCTGTAATACAGATGAAGAGATCATATCTGCCTAAAACTGTGCTACAATATAGGTCACTATGCCTGGAAGACAGGAAGACTGGGTTCCCATTGCTACTAACAATATCTATTCATCTCAGAGGAAATAAATAACTTTCAGCTTAAGCGGCTAAATATCTGGCATGCCTTCTGAAGCTGCTAAACGATAATTTTTTATCAGTAGGGATATCAGACATCTAAGCCCCTTAAGTTGATTGCAACAGAGATAGATCAACAGCACAACATTCCTCCAGTGGCTTCACACCTGGTCATGCACCAGAAGACAGGTAAAATACTCCTTAATATGGGGACCTAATGCAAAAATATAGACCATGGACTGACTGAGAATGCAAAGTCCACTTAATACAAAAAAGACATGCTTTTTTCAAACATTTTTTTTCAATGTCAACTGGAAAAAATCCAACACCAATGCTGATGATATGATAAAGGAAATAAGGACACAAAGTTTATTGTTCCACAAAGTGCTAACTGTCTAATGTCAAGGTTTGTGTTGTAATAATAATAACATCCATGGTATGGACCTTGATCCCCTTTCTTGGCATTACTATTTCTTTTATTTTCATCCCAAACAAATTAAAAAACCCTACTCCAGTCCACACAGCCATTATATGGATAGGAAGAAAACATGTTTTTTATGCACTTTAATACAGTCAAGAATTGTAAGAGAGTTTGATTCATTTTATCAAGCTGCACATCTGCCAAAACATTCTTCATTGTTATTATCTTGCCTGCAGCTCATGTACTACTCCATGGATAGTAACAATTACTCTTTTGTGGTGCTGTTTTTTCTACATTTCAGTAATATAACTCAATATTGTTGGGATCACGGCACGTGCATTGAACTTCAGTCCTCATTTTCTCTATACACAATTTGTTCAATGTTTCTTTCTTTATATTTTTCAGGTGGGCAAACAGGTTCTTCAAAAACAGCTAATAAGTTGAGAAGACTATGTATAGCAAATGAACTTCGAGTGTTCCAACCATCTTGATGGAATAATCTTCATGGACAAAAGAGGGGAAACAGACTTATCTTGTTACTTATTCTCTATGACAGATGTATTTTTCTTGATTAGGAAATAAACATACAATATGTACCTGTATACATAATAATACTAAAGAATCTGCAACATATGATTTTTATTTCTCGGGGAGGTAATCATTTAAAATGATATATATTCAAGTTGGAAACAATATGGAATATGGAAGTCATTCACAGAATATCAATTTTAAGGTGTGGTGTATTACTCTACCAATTTCAACACATTCAGTTTGAAAACTGGACTCTTCTATTTTTAAGAGCTTTTAGTTGGTTTTTGTTTTGTTGAAGCTGCTCATGCCTTGATTGCAGTGTGTAATATATCACTACAAGTTCACTTTTACATGTTATTGTATAATACTGTTTTAAATATCTAATCATCAGGTAATATCACATTATAAGGTTCTTACCACATGCCAACATATATCATGAAACCACATATTCACAAAGACAATGTTGAGATTTTACTTAGTGCTGAAAGGACTCAACTCTTGTTGAAAAGTACATCATCCTTTGTGAAAATGCATGCACATTACTAGTACCTTCAGAATAAAACTATCAACTGCCATCAAGTTTTAATATTATCCTGCCATAACTACACCATTATCATTTCACATTTCTCAGTTTTAATACATACAAAAACCATTTTAAAATCCCAATATTTCAGATATTTAAGATAAATAACAACAAATGATGTTTGTGTCCACTTTATAAAAGTGCTGGCACAAAAAGGCACATTAATTGTGGGGGTAAAGGTGGGGCTAGGGTGGAAAAACCTCTGCTTGCCATGTTTGACAAAATTATTCAAGGTGTGTGTGTGTGTGTGTGTGTGTGTGTGTGTGTGCGAGTGTACATGCGTGTGTGTAATGGGGGGGTACATCTCCCCTTTCCCAAATCTGCTTTACCAGTGGCGTATTTAGTATACAGGACTTTTTATAACATGGTAAAGCCTACATCATAAGCTAAATACTGTAGTAACTGTGGCAGCAATATATGCTAATATTTTAAAATAGATATAAATTACTTCAATCAGATACAGTGTTTTCAGGTTTTAATCTGTTATTGACAGGTTCTCTTAGTATTGATATCATAACTACTATACACTGATACATGTAACCTAGTAGATGATATTACAACACAGGTCCTAGTGGATGATCTAGTTTAGGAAGGTCTTGAGGCATTATCACCATTAAGCTCAATATTATCAATATGACATCCTGAGATCATGCTATAAACTGTTGCCATGGTTTTAATGCATTATTACCTTAGCCTTGGTTATTCCAAATAGCTCATTTATCCCGGCTTTTACAAAGGTCTGTTCCAAATAAATGCCAGATAATATAAAAATAATGCCAGATGCTTACCGTCAAGCCTGAAAGTCATTATTTACAAACTTTAATGAGCCTGTGTATCCGATCACTATCACTACATAATGTACATAAACAGAGGGCCTATTCCCAATAAAACTATCATTCTACATAGATTGATCCAACTCCATGTGGGCTCTCACTGATTGCAATCATGTAAACTGAATGACACACCTTCTCTTTTTTCCAATGTACTCTTATAATCACCAGTTTTTCTGTGTTCTACTCAATGCCAGGAGAAGGCATCTTAATCTTTTAACCTGATTGTACTCAGAGAGATTCCCCGCGGAGTTTGATCAATTTAAAGATGGGAATAGGTCCATAGACATAACAAATACAGGTACTTAAATGGTTTTGTCATCATCACTTTTCTAGTGTTATAATAAGATGGTTGCCAGCCCAGCACAAGCCCACCTATATGAAGCTCCTCTCCCTTAAATGAAAGGGTATACTACTTGATGACAACCATCATTTGGTCATTACTTAGTATGTCTTTTAATTAAACATAATAACATAATTATATATAACTGTCTAATTAGTCTACTGATCTCATGAAGCCAAATGATCTTTCCCAGCCCTGAGTTAAAACAAAACCCTATCAATACATAGAACTTTTCAGAACCTATTCTGTTTGAATCTTAAATAATCCAACCCACCTGGAAGTAGGACCTACCTCATCCCCAGGGTTGATCAACCCCATGATGGTACAGTACAGAGCCCCATAGGCACCAACTGTGACGATTATCTCATTCATTGGGTCAATGGTCCGACCGTGGAGTGGGGAGAACATCTTGGAGATTGCCTGAACCAGCCTAGGGTGACCCTGGAAGAAGAGGAGTATGTTAAAATTTCCTGAGTCAAATTAGGAGAACCATGAAACACGAGACCATCTTAGAGATTACCTGGGGTGACACTGAAGCAAGGGGACATCTTAGGCTCCATTCAGAACAGAGGACTAACTAGTCAGAGGGCCAAATATGGCAACCCACTACAAAGCTTGCCATCTAATCCACTAATACACTAAATAGATATCCATTGGGGAAGTATTTAAGTGGGTCAGTCACATTTGACCCTTGGACAAGTTAGTCCCCCATTTTGAATGGAGCCTTAGAGATTGCTTGGATCAGTCTAGGTTGACCCTGAAACAAGAGGGCATTTTTCAAGTCTGGATCACTCTTGGCTGGCAATACTATAATAGTACATCCTACAAAGAACATCTGTGAAAGTACCAGGGAATGTCTGGGGTGATCCTAGAATACCTGATTACATTGTGCTTCAGAATGTCTTTAGCACCCTGGACCAAACCTGAAATATCAGAAAACTATAACTACAAATATACAGACATTGCAAAATAAATGGAAGGCATAAGTATACAAACTACAATTAGATTGATACTGAATAAAACCCGGACTTACTGTTATCGAGGCTGATCATCTATTATCGCCCACTCTTAATTCTGTCAATGCCAGTAAGTCCTAACTGCCTGCTAAAACCTGTTTCTGAACATGCTGTTGATAGTGAGTTTTACCATTGCCAGTTGGCTCTTATCGCAAGGCTAAATCTGCTTAAATGTGAGTTAAACAATTTTCTTCCAATTCAAATGTTACAAAGGATTAAACCCTTCAAAAAAGTAGCTGATGTTGAAATTCCAGAAATTCCGGGAACACTGTAACAGCAAATCATGAATTTATTTAATTAGAAATAATACAAAACATCGAATCTATTCACAGGCATGGGCCGAACAATGATTCATAAGTAGATGACATTTTTTTCTTTTTCTCAAAGAAAATGAGAGTTGGCATGGAAATCCCATTGAAGATACCTTAAATGATCGTAAGATTTTTTTTTGTTCCTTCACAGAGGCTTATTGTTTGATTTCCCTCCTACATAACACTGCATATTAAATCCAGTAAGACTTACAAAGCTCCTGGTGTACTGGTTCAGCAGAACATTGCTGCTCATGGTGGCATCACAGAGGGCTTGTTTCACATACTCTGGAGGGGAGAAGTCTGGAAATCCCTGGGAGAAAGGACAAGTATGTATTTAGTAAGAACAGTATTGTATAGGTAGATATTATTTAAGATAATGATCATCATCATCATCATTCACATCACTCATTATGCCCAGGTGGATCAAGGAAATTATGAAGGGAAAGTTTTTGCACTGCACACACACACACACACACACACACACACACAAAACAAAAATGGTACAATTGTACAACTAACAGCATATATAGGGTATTTGCAGCACTGAGCAAATGAAACTTGTACTAATGAAACATGTACCTTTTCGTGTGTGTGTGTGTGTGTGTGTGTGTGTGTGTGTGTGAATATGTATGGGGGTGGTGTTAGTTGGCAGTGTCCTGTTAGTTGCTGATCATGATATCAGCTAATATGCATTTGAACATGTAAGTACAATGTAAATACCAAGTACAATCTCATTATTCCAAAGCAAGTGCTTTGCCAATAGGATAATTGAATTTCATTTGCCTATACCTTTGCTTGTATTTTCATATGCTTCACAATGTTCATCCTATTGTTTGAAGCGCCAGTTGTGGGATAAGTCAGCTACAACTTTTCGTCGTCCACTGTATGTGACATTCAAGAGCAAATTATATCTCTGCTCAATTTAATTATGCTCTTGTATGTTGCATACAGTGGAGGACTCATGTTGTAACTAGTACAAACTTTCATCAAAAATATATATCAGCATATTCCTTTTGTAACATTATTACTGTAAATGATGATGCAAATGACACACAGTCACATGCAGGCATGCACACACTCTGTTAAAAATGTGAAAATGAAGATCACAGACAGCCTGTCAGATCGACAGGTATTACCAAGACCACTTAACAAATCTTTTGTGTACCTTGATTAAGGAATTAAGGAGATATATCACTGAAACATGAAAATAAAATTTTGTTGGTAATTTAAAACCATAGTTACCTGACCAAGGCTGATAGCTTTGTGCTGGGTGGCTAGCTTGCCAAATTCAACCCTGAAAATAAAAAAATATAACTGTTTAGAAAAAATGAAAGCAGGTTTGAATTATGAACACATGTAAAAATATATAAATACTGAATGAAGAAAGTTAGTTTATTAAAATGTAGAAAGGTGAATATGAATTCATTACAACTGATAAGTTAATGATGGTACTCCATGGAGTTGGACAATGAACTCACAATAACTAAAATCTGAAACTAACACTACTAAGAAAGAATTTGCTTTTTACACTTTACTCATATGCCACATCACTAAGGTGTATTCAGACAAGACTACTTTGGACTGACAACCAATCCAGATCCAGTCACAAGAGGACAACATAACAGAGTGACCACTACAAGCTAGTTTATTAATACAGGTGAGAACAATTATTAAATGGCTATATATCCTGTCCCTCAGAACAGTTTTTCTTACTACATGTGTTGTCTACATGGCCTAGCTTACCAAACACTATCTGCAGAATGTATGGTCCTGTGTGCACTGACCAATTTACTGGACATCCTGGACTGCAAAGAGAAGAATAAATAATAATGAGCCAACCACACAAACATTAAGTTAGGCAGTGTGTGATATGATACTTGAAGTGTATTACATGCTTCAACTAAGTGCCTACGATGTATACTTTTTCATTGAGGCAGAGCACCTGTTCATGTCCTCACTGTGACCTAAAAAAAGAAATATCAAAGAACTATGAAACCTATGCACAGGCAAAAAGAAAATTGTGTGACCTTGTTGATCAAGAAATGTGCAGGCATGCTAATGTGTACAACATGTGTGTCTACGAATATTTGAGAACACATATCACCACTGCTGATATGTGTCACCGATACAAATTAATGAACATGTCGGATAATCTTTATTGTGTTTTGTGAGTGTACGTGTAATTTGCTTACTCACAAGCTCAGTTGATGTTATATGTACAATGAGAGCACGATGCCAATTTTAACCAGCAGTCCACATTTCACAAGTAATTTACTTTGGCTGAAGAAAATGAGGCAAAAATGAAATCACTCAAGCCCAATTGAAAATTAAAATATATGGTGATGTCAAATTACAATCATTGTTAATATAGTGCATAATGATCAACTAGTTGTTAACATAAGCATTAACTTACTATTGTTTTGTTTACTGAGTGATGATGGGGTGTTTGTTTCTGAGAACACCTCTGGCACAAACTGCTCCTAAACACCAAACTCTGCCTTTCAACACTGAATCTCAGTGGATTCAACATGCCCTGAGAAGATATATATACTGTATATCAAACGATGCATAGATAGATGGATGGACAGACAACCAGGCAAACAGACAGACACAGCGAGATTAATAATGATGAGACAAATATACCTGATACATAAATGCATACTTTTTGGTTAAGTAATCATTACAAACACATTGAAAAATATGCATATCTGTACCTCATTTCAAATCGGAATATCACATTTTCTGTATGTTTAGATTTTATTGAGAACAAAGCTACAAATAAAAACAACATGCTCTTATGAATATTTCACAATGTATCTAAGATGTTCAGCTAGCACTTGCTATATATACCACATTACAACAGGGGGGTAGGGAGTAAGCTTTGCACAGTGATAAAGAAATGTGCGACAGCTTTTATAATTCACAGACTATGGTGGCATGACATGAACAGCTAACTTCAAAGTAGGTCTGCTTAATTATGTTGACATACATACGTGTAACATACCAGCACTAGTAATCTTTTAACCATTAATGAATAATTATGATGTACATTATTGTCATTAACCTACATCAAGGAGTTATAACTCCTTGCCTACATGTACCGGTACTAGTATTAGCTAGGCTTACTTCCAATTTTGATTTCCTTTAAAAATAAAACTGTCTGACCAAACAATGGGTTTTATATGATTTCATGGCAAGTTCTTTATCGATATCAATTTTTCATAAGTAGCCTCAAAGAGTTTTCATCTTGGATGAATTTTTAGCAAATAATTTTATAGCATACCAGGTACAAGCAATTTGTTTTGAAGGAATAAATGAACATTTTTCAATCCTTAAGCTATGTAATTAAAAGCTACATAAATACATTCTGAAGATGTCTACTGTTAACAACAGAATTCGTATTGCACAGATCCTAAAAGATATTTGAGAAGGCTTTTTATGGGACAAACATCCGTGTAGTGCTCTCGCAGATACTGTGACGGTATATTACATGCATGTACATGTACATGTACTAGATTAGCGGCCCAATGCAGCATCCTAAACCTAAAGCGGCGCTCAGTTACCTGTTGCAGCAGCCATGTTGCAAATGAAAATAGGGCATTCGACAAGATAACCTGGCTATTACGGTACCTGATCGCTTATTATCGTGTTAAGACCATAGGTCAGAGTTAAGAGGGTCGGCAAGTACTCGTAGGCTCGAGTCCTATGTCCACTGTCTCAGTTTCAAACCGGAAATGGCAATGTTTTGATCACGTGACCTTTAGTTCCGTAAACAATAACACGTGCTCTCAGTGGCTGCCTTCTTATTAACAAGACCTACGAATTAAAACACTTCTATTTTCTTTTTCATACGGACAGATTTTATCAAAAAGCTTTGTATTAGATTCAATTCAAACATTAATGATGTATATCAAGCGAAAAGACATGTCAAAATAGGTTAACACGACCACCATTTACAGGTAGTTAGAGAACTATCGTTCCATTATTTCCTTTCGTGCCATTTTCGTTTCTTTGCGAACTAGAGGGGCGGACAAGTAAATGTGGCCTACAACCAAAAATTTGGAGAAAATGAAGTTTTAAGGCCTTTTTCGGCTGACCGAGTGATTAATTTGGGTTGTTTTTGGCATGTGGATTTTCTATGAGATGAGCAAGAAACTGGTATCAGTAATTTGTGTGAACTGGAGAGAATTTACGCAGCTGTTCTCTTGCATTTATGTATCTTTACTTACTTTCATGTCATCTTCGTTTGACTCATGACACGCTTCTGATGTACATGTAACTGACAGGTCGTGATCACACATTATACATGTACATGTGTATACCTGTATACCTTCTGATATGTTGCAACTATTTGACTAACATTTATTCACTATAGCTAAGTATATAACACAAGCTGTAGGATATAAAAGAATCAAAGGGGATGAAATCCTTTTAAACTGAGAGCCAGCGTTACCCGTTTGTGTTACAGGTGTTCTCATCTTGCTGTGTACATTTTTGTCTTACAATCCATGTATTGACATAAAACGAACTGGTGTAGTGAAACCCCTTGTCATGATAGCAGTAGTAATTTGTGTAAAAAGAACCGCGTTATGATTTTTTATTAACAAGAGTTAGAATAGGGGACTACCTATAGTACATATCATATGCAGTGATAACCTGTGCAACGGATAAAATTTTGTTCTTCAGCGCGTACAACAATTCTTGTATGAAAGCAATAGCGGTATTGATCGAGGAATGAAATGACCATTACACATTCTGAAAGGAACGTTAAGGGCTGTAAAAGGTCAGTAACTGCCATGGCAGAGACTTTCAGTGCTCTGGATTATTATTGACCAGGGCTTTAATAACGCATCTATTCATGTGTCCCTCCCATCTCCATCTACTAGACATAGTATTGCGTGCGTGCCGGGTACTGGAGTTATTGATCTACTGTGCGGCTGGGAATGACCAAGGGTTCACTCCCACTGAAACTATCAGTCTACGTACATCGATCCAGCTCCGTGGGGACTCTTGTTGAATGCAATCGGTTTAACAGATTAACACGCGCCCTCTTGTTTTCAACGTACAGTGTATTCCCTGCGGAGTTGGATCGATCTATGTAGACGGATAGTTTCAATGGGAATGAACCCTATGGTGTTCATTACGCTTTTGACTCTCTCAGAACAAGAAAAACTAGGAAGGAATGTAGGAAGAAATCGAGTGTCATTCTTCTAAATTATTTATAAAGTTACCACTCCGACTAGTTTAAATTTGAATGAGGATAGCAAAATGAGAGATAAGTAAGGGCAAATGAAGGGATTTCGGAACGCTGCCTTCCTTCCCCCGGTAACCATTGGACAGTACGCATGAAACTCCCATAAGTCCATGGATCCGAGCTACCAGCTCATAGAATTAAGAAGGGTTTGACTTTCTATATGAACAAAATAATCGGTAGAATAAGTATTTTTTCGGGTTTAGATATATTTAACTGACAAAATTAATAAACTCTTATCCTCAGTACACAAAGACTGTAAAGATTGAAATATTTATAACTTGAAAGAAACATGTGTGTGTACCTCTTCGCCAAAAACACTTTCAGTATCTATTAAAATAGATGTAGACCGGCATAGAAGACAAAATAAAGAATCTATCTTAAAGATATTCTGTAGAATAAAAAGATGATACAATCTACCTGTAGGACTGGCAGGAATAGAATGGTAGATTGTAGTCCCCTTTTCAAAAGTCATTATTTTTCAGTACCAGAATGTTGGGACATTAACAACACTGAAAGCATTGCTTTCGCTTTGAATTATCAAAAATATAACGTCAAGAGAAAAATAGCTGTCAAACAAAATAAACGCACGCATTTATGTGTTGACCAGTACAGTTGTACTTGTATAACATGATGACTATAATGCGGTCAAGTTTAACCGTCGGTTCTTACCCAGTTGAAGATAAAATCAGACCATGACGTAACTTCTCCACTGGCTCGTGTAAGTACACTTTGTGCGTTAGCTTGCACGTGTATTTGCATGAGATTTTTTTTAGTTTTGTGTGCACAGCGTGCGTGTGCATGTGTGTGAATATGTGTGTGGGTGAGTGATTGCAAACCTAGGTTTAAAATAAGATTGCAATGTTATCTATTTGATACATGTAGGCTTATTCATTATATTTTGAATTTGAAATACTAAAGCGTTCTGATTTCCTTGTTTCCACATGTACGTCAGCTATAGACACGGTGGTAGAAAAAATTAAGGAAGGGGTAGGTTAATATCCGATTAATAATTACAGAATGACGTCTTCCATACAAGTTCCCATACATGCATCCTGGTTTTCCTTTCGGTGAAGAAATGCGCAGACATTAGAGTCAGATATTCTTCCTGTATCTCTGTAAATGCCTAAAACCGAGGTTTGAAAAGCCTTTTCACCTAGAATTGCAATTAGTAACAAGTTGGTTTGGCAATGTACACAATAAACTGCTGATTGTCGTTTTGTTCTTTTGGTTTGTACAGCTTCATATTTGCACTGGAAAAAATGTTCCGAAATATTAACATCTTATTAGAAAAACAGGACGGAATGTGCATGTATTTTTCTATCTTGACTGCTGTAGTGCCTCCTATTGTTCTGTTATAAAGCCACTCGAAGTTTTTAATTTCTGTGAAAAGGGGCTGCAGGGACAGTATTAATAGCCAGAGAACTGCAACTCTTGTATATTTACTATTATCGCTCAGCATCAAACACGGTGAATGTAATTGGAAATATCGTCATACGTGCAGTTGTGTTTGGTCTCGGAGCTTATTCGGGAGCATTAAAAATGCACCGGGATATAAATTTGTATTTATTTTAGAAGGAAAATTAAAAAAAAACATCGTCAATTCAACAAAATATGCCCGAGTACCTCTACAGGATATTATTTATGGTACATGGATGCTTTAAATCCAAATTTTCAAAAAAATAAAATTAATTATCTGAATATGCCATTGTAAAAAGAGCGTTAAAAAGCGTTTAAAGGCTAGTACTAGTACTTAGATGAGGATTTGTCCGACTACCGCAGTCTCTCTCTAATATGTAAAGTTGATTATTACATTTCAATCAGGAAAGGGCACCTAGAACTCCTTGAGATAAAGTCACATAAAAATAAGTTATCCTTAAGCACGAAGAATCTTGACCGGATCTACAACTCCGTTTATAAATAAAAAGTCATAGCGTTGGAGCCTCTCTAGCATTGGCCCTCCGAGAAATGTGAGGTAGTCGAAGTTTCATCCAATAAAGACTAATAAAATGACCACATTACGTAAGTGTGGGGCATTATACTGAAGGTAGAGGTAAAGGTAGGCAATGTCAGTACATGTGGAAACAGAGAAAAATAACGGCACAGAAGCAGGCCCATCTATGAATTATTTAGAGAAACTATAAAGGTGAAACCCCGAAACACTTCATCCCAGCATCGTGTTTTTGGACTAGGGACATATATTGCATCACCGTTGCATTGAGCGTTACATCGATGTAACAGAATTTAGCGAGACAAAAAGTACACTCCGTCACGGACAACACCTTGACATGGACCAGATAAACGTTATAATTGACCTGCATATATCTTTTAATTAAATGCCATGATCTACACATGCAGTCCGTCAGGCCTACATGTGTATAAGACCGCCAAGTCAATGCCATAACATCAGTAAAATATTTTACGAAGCGGCTTAATAATTCCACTGCATGAGTGGTATATGTGTATTCTGTGGTATATGTGTATTCTGTGGTATATGTGTATTCTTTGTAATTTTAGACACATTACTAGTACCAGTATGAAACATGGCTTTGATGTAGCCGATGATTGGAATTTACAACATGCATGCACTTGTGCCTGTATGCTGATATTGAGTTTGACCTATATATTATATTTCGAAATGTTTTTATCATGATTCATCGTACGGGAAATATTTTGAAAACAGCAAAATTCGCAGCAAGTACGGAATTTTTTTACATGCACACTGCCAAGCCGGCCAAGCTGCTGAAGTGTC